AAGGAAGCTGTTGAATTTTCATGATATTCTACTTATAAGTTTGTGAGATTGTGCTAAGAGTGACGCTACTTTTGTTATTTTCAAAACAATGGATGAAAAACAATTTCGTGTTTTAATTTTACAATGCTTCTTAAAGGAAAAAATACCGTTCAAGTGAAGCAATGACTTGAAAAATATTATAAGGAATTCGCTTCGTCAGAAACAATCAGGAAAAATAAAAAATCCACGAAATCGTTTTCACTCTATATTGCATTTGACTATGAGAAAGCTCTGTTCAAAGTGAGTGCTGCGCGAGCTCACTGTTGACCAAAAACAAGAACGTCTTGATGATTCTGAGCAGTGTTTGGCCATGCTCAAACATAAGAAACCGAAAATTTTGCGTCGATATGTGACAATGGATGAAACATGGATCCACCACTTCACTCCGGAGTCAAAACGATCGTGATATGAGGAGAGCAACTGGTGAACCTCGTCCAAAGCGTACGAATGCACAACAATCGGCTGCGAACACATTTGAAGAAGAAAGTGCTGCTTCATCGAGGCAATGCACAGTGTTACAAATCAATGAAATCGTTGATAAAATTTCATGAAATAGGTTTCGAAATGCTCCCACATACGCCATATTCGCCAGATTTGGTTTCCAGCGACTACAGGCTGTTCGCAGACCTAAAAAAAATGCTAACCGGTTAGAAATTTCGCTCGAATGAAGAGGTTATTGCTGAAACTGAGGCCTATTTTGAGGCAAAAGATAAATAGTTCTACAAATGTTAGAACGGCGGTGAAATGTTTGTGTGGCTACTGATGGAGATAACGTTGATGAAAAAAGCCAATTTAAAAAAAAAGCGTTTCTTTTATTAGACCCGGGACTATTCAGTTCAGGTGTTATATCGAAGAAATTGAAAATGTAAACTCAACTATATTCATAACTCAAGGAATACGGAAACATTATAGTGAATATTAGGAATGGAAATTTTAGAACATATCATCCAAGACATATTAATCATTATGATTTTTACAATTTAGGATATTTGTTAAACAAAAACTCCTGAAAATATTCAACCTTCTGGGAACTTGCAGCATTTTCAATTGTTATAAACTGTTATTGAAAAAAGGTCTAATAGTATCGAGAAGAAATATATCTACATATAAACTGTTATTATTGAAAAAAGGTCTAATGGTATCGAGAAAAAATATATACATATGTATAAGAAAATAAATATTTCTGAATAAAATTAGTCTCCGTGAGGTACACCGCATGAGATGTCGGATATAATTCGAAGTCATTCGCGATGTTAGTCGGGGAAGTAGTTGTTTTCAGGGTAGCATTGACCAGAACCTAGTTTTTAGGTACGTTGGGAGAGATATTTTGAAATATTAATTTTCTCAAACGTATGTAACTTTCTGTTAGAGTTTTGATTGATATTTTTTTCCAACTTTTGGGGCTTCGTTCGTGAAATGGAGCTGTTACTAGTTAACTTATCTTTCTCTCAGACGTTCATACATGCAGTCGAGCCGCATTGAAGTCAGTCGAATTCCAGGAACATTGCTGTTTGGGTCGGATCTTCCCTGCACTGATGAGAGGTAATACTTCGAAACCAGTCTGTAGGTGTTCTACTCGATTGATTTCAGCGTGGATGATAGAAAAATATCTTCAAGAATAGCCTCTCTTGAGTAGGTTAGGTCCAAAGTGATTGGGTCTATTCGACCCTCCACCGCAACCCGCAAGGCTTTATTTTGGCTAACACACACTCACACTCGACCAAATAAACCCAGCTTCTTAACGACGCCGATTAGTTTGTATGGTGAGTTGTCTTTCAGGTCGATGATAAGAGTACGGCTCTGTCGAACTCTAAAAACCTGATTCGGTCCCGAGCGGGGCAGGCACAAAGTATATGCTCTGCTATTTTATCATTAATGAGGTAGTCGGATAGTCAAGGTGCAAGATTCTCACCTTGATACCCGCCACAACCTTCCCATATGTGGGTTTTTGCACGTCAGCTATACCTGACGATGCCTTAAATTCAACCGTGCAGGGCTTTTCAGCCTCTGGTTTTGGTGAATCATCACTTGAACACAAACGTTTGCTAATCTGCTCTGGGGGGTTTGTTCCTCCACCTGAGACAGATTCTGCATACGCCGCTCATGAATTTGGTGCAAGGCGGTTTCATAAGGTACCCCGCTCTTGAGGAGACGACTCAGTCGTTTTGATCTGAATTTGATTTAAATTTTTGATCTAAATTTACAGGGAGGTCGGTTGGAGTCATAAATTCGACATCCATCTCCTCTGTAGACTCAGCGCAGCGGCAGAAAGAATGTTTAAGTTTACTCTGTTCATAACGGTGCCACAAGTAGCTAGGGAAAGAAGGTCAATCACGGCAGAGCTCCGCATTACCGTGACAAGGCGATGCTACGACGAGAGGGCGCCCAGTACCTCGAAGGTTCCGTAGAGACAGCCGAGTGTCAGGCTCAGTGTCATTCATCCTCTCGGTACGAATACACACACCTTAGGATTAAGCCATCGTTGGGTTGCCATTCAGTTAGGGAATAACCGAACCACAAGTGATTATGTCATTCCCGTAGCCAGCGGGGCTACGTGGAAGCAGGCATTCAATCGCCGGTGGAATAACTTGCATGATTGTCTGTTGGATATAATTCAATGTCCATCGTAGTATTAGCCGTGAAAGTAGTTGTTCTCTGGCAGCCACTTACCTGAATCTGAGTTGGAAGTACGTTGGGAAAAAAGAGTTATTTGAACAGAAAATAATTTTTATGCGCCCTATTTGTTTTCAGTATTTCTAGATACAAAACATGTTTTCAATATTTTTTGATACAAGTTTATTTCAAAACTTTTTAAATAATTGAATATCAGAAAAAATCAATACAAATTTGCTATTTGGATCCATAATCAATAATTCATAACAATTAAAATTGAATCGATACTTGATAGCCTAGAATGAAATATTTATTTGTAAAGGTCTGCTCAAAAACGGAGTAACTGCAAAGCGTAAATCTTGGTACAGAAATGAAGTTCCATTCGATGATTTTTAGTAATTTGTCCTTTGATTATGATGCATCCCAATAATGTGGCCTTTGAGACTACTTCTGTGCCTGAATTTTTTCGAACATAAATAACATTTAAACTGAGGTTCCACACCACACTCATACTTGATATGTCTTATCAAATGACCTCTTTGTTTATAAGATGATGGACAGTTGGGACACATGTATCTTCCAGTTTCATTCTGGGTAAATCGCATATACCTGAAATCTGATAAAAGCATTAAAATAAAATTCATTGATATTTGGTCATGTATGGTTAGGTATATTATATACTTGTTTGTCTACCACCATAAGAGCTACGCAAAATTATGTAAATCTAACTATTAAGGGGAAGAAGACTGTTTTCACAAATACCGGGTGTTGAATTCGACACTATTATTTTTTGTCATATTCAGCGAAGTTTGTATTTATTACTGAAACATTTTTTAACATTCCATGTACCTACCAAATATTCCCTTTCATGGTATGTCCAATTCTGCAAAGTCGTAGAAAACCAATAAACAGTAATCCTACTTTGACGTCAATGGAAAAACTTCTGTACATGTACTATATCGAGAGAATATGGAATTTTCATAACACCTCATGATGATCTTCGAATAGCTTTTTGTTCATTCACGACTTACTCGCATAGGCTTTGTCCGAATATTTGACACGTTCACGCGATAACCGTTATGCATTTTCCCTTTAAACTTTAAGCACCCGTATACTCAATTCTTCATGACAGCCAATGGCTCAAAGTGATTGAACAATAAGGACTGGCTTTAGGAATATGGTGTGATGAATATTGACTTAGAAGTGACTTAGTTTCTGAACAAAATATGATCTATTTATATCTGCATTGATAATATCACAAGCATTGTCTGCCATTTTCGCTGGAAAGCTGTGGTATACTTGAGTATCATCAGCATATAAATGCAACTGACATGAGTAAAGAGTCTGTAGTAAGTATGTATAGAAAACAATAAAGGGCAGAGTATGGATCCTCGAGGTACCCTTGGTTTGATATATAAGATATCTCAGTTTCGGTTTCGGGTTTGATCCCATTATCAAGTATAAAACTTTTATATCATAGGTATTTAGAAAAAAGTGTTTTTATTAATTTCATTTAAGTGATCATGTAAACAAGTCATCAATCACACATATCAGTTTTATATATGTAAATATATATATATATATATAATAGCAGTGAATATAGTATAAAAAAAGTTTCACAAACTTTATAGACAAATATCAAAACCTCTTGCGAAAAATCTAACAAAAAAAGAAGTCTTTATCTCAGAACGCACTTATTTCTTAGTGATACTATATTAACCTAAACAATATATAAAAATGATATCAACTCTCAACTGGGGAAAAACTAGGCTTGTTCATGCACTGCAGGTGTTTTCTTATATGCGTGCAATAGGGTACTTATCCCTATGTCCTTATGCGAAGGAAATCGGGACGTTCCACGGAATAGGGTAAGGCTTCATCAGTTCTTGTATCAGCTATCTTAGCTCAATGATAAATGAAACTCGATCTACAAAGTTCCAAATGAAAACTTTGGAAGGGTATCATAAAACGTTCCTTGTGCGAAAACCCAGCCCAACCAGATGTTGAATACTAATATAACATAGACGATTTGAAGTGAAATAGTGAAGAAACCGTCCATAACGATGAGTAATAGGCACTATTAATCCAATCTTTTCAAAATCTACAAATTCACTGTCCTGTCGAACGAAACGTACGTTGAGGTTTTTTTTTCATAAAATCTGCAGACCTGGACTACAATTGAAATCGTTCATTTCATCAGGAAAACGAAATAAATGAATATGCATGCATGAGGATATTTGATACACATACAGTGTATAATACTACTATGATACTTTAAACCCTTTCGGAATTTCATTGATTCTTCTTCCAATTCATTCTTGAATCATTATAATTCAGCAACTATCATACTCTTTTTACTTGAATATATTTTTTTAAATGGCGAGTTCTATGCTTTCAATCATAACATATGAGTGTCTTCTTTATCACTAAATTTCAAATAGCATTATCAATTTGTTTTCTCGAAAATATCGTCATGTGAGATTTATATGTTTTTTTCTTTCCTTCTCCTGTGACATTCACTTCTATGTAACTTCTGAAGGGGAAAAAACTGAAACATCATATAATTCTGTAACCTCTATATAAACATCTGTCAATAATCATTTATTGTAATGTTCAAAAAAATCATACTCAATTTGACTCAGGCTCAAGTTTGACCATATGTTTAGTAGTTTGTCGTTGAACGTAAATCTTAGCGGCTCCTGAAGTCCATTCTTCACGGTGCTTCACCATAATGTGCTTACGCAAGTTTCCTCGTAACTTAGCTTTATACGTACAGTAGACACACGAAAACTGAGGCTCTTTCTGACATTCGAACCTTTCGTGCTTCCGCAAGGATCTCGAATGTTTATAACTTTTTCCACACACATCACATTGAAACGGTCCTGAAAATCATTACATTCAACTTAATAAGTAAGTCTCAAACAAATGCACAAGTAAAGCAATAAGCCCGAATTACTAAACGAAGATTCACAGAACTGTTTTTTTATTTCATGACCTCTCGGATCATCTACATGACAGAATTTTCTTTTTCGCTACCAACAAATCAAATGTATTTTTTATTCATTTCTTTATAGAAGCAAATATATATCTCCCTTCTCCGTGAATAAGACAATTGAAGAAGTGTTCTGCACCAATAGATGGAAGTATTGAAAAAACAAAGAAGAACGTTGTAATTCAGTCTTCCTTTTATAAAACTCGCATTTCAACAACTCGACTCAGTGCAGTTTATTATACGCATATTATTTGATATACTGTTGAATAGAGCTTCGCTAGTTGTCATATTATCAATAAAATCATTTTCTTTGATTCCTCTTCTCCAGTGTTGAAAAATAAAATTATTGAATCACTTTATAAAACTGGATACAAGACCAAAATTGCCAATTTAGGGCTAATAAAGTCAATTTCAAATATAGTGAAGAATTCTTGAATTCATGACAGAGCATGTAATTTTATCATTTGCACGTGATATGTATGAATCATAGATAAAACATTTTTTGGGAAAAATTCAACATTCATGGTCTGAGGGGAAGTGTTTATGATTGAGGGAGTCAACATTAGTCCCATATTCTATGGGGACTTATCTCGTTTAGGGAAACAATTATTAGCTTTGCTAATAACACTATCATAATTGAATTGGAAACCAAAGCTGAAAAGGATATAAAAATCATATTGATCTCGAATACGACAGAAAATTAGCAGTCTCTCGAATATAGATGTCATAAAAATTTGTGAAATCTTTGAAGTTTGTAAATCATAAAATATTTTGGACCACTATTCTAAGACATTTTTGGTGGAATTCTCAAGTGAAATACCTGCCTGTATAATTGAGAGGCTTTTACATTTAGAAAACCTGAATATAATGCAGCGAAGATTTTCGAAAAATTGGGGGAACTCGAGACTAACCAGCCGATGATTTACTTGATGGAGGTCTTATACATGAGATTAGACAACTCAACAACTTGAACATCCCAAATAGTGGTTAAAATTGTGAGTACCTCATAACTATGAAATCTATTGATCAACAGTTGATATAATTTGAATATCACAAGTTCCAATTGGTTGTTAAAATATGTTTTTCCGTTGAACAGCTGTCGCCTGCTACGAACAACTCTCATGAGTCGAAACTTGTGCGACCTAAGGATTAACAAGGTCTTGCCTTTCAACGTTTTTTTCCTAGCACGGGTTGGACGATAGGCCGTGAAAATCGATCGTCCGACCTGTGGGGTCGAAGTGCCGTTTCTCCTAGCGGTTGATTGAAAGAGTGGAGCAAACCACTCACGCCAATTCAACCAACTACCGAAAATCAAAGAATATAATTATCTTGAATAGTTCTAAATTCAAATCGAATTGTTAGTTCATTCAACTTCAAATAGATTTTGTGATGCACTGTTTGGAACCTTTGGTGTAGTAATGAATATTACTGGTGTTGTTTACCAACACCAAATCGTTATTTTTAACACCTCGACATCTTCAAGAGGTAGATTAAACACTGAAGTGTTTTTTCAATACGTTAGTTATGGATTTTATTAAGTATCGGCCAATTCCATCATATAGAAGTGTTCGAGTTATTCAAGCCACATTTTATTGTGAAATTATCAATGAACAGTTTACAAAACTGGAACACGTACTAACTTGAAATTTCGACGTGACCTACGAAATGACGACTTTGAACTCGAAATTTCGAATTCATTCTCGTGGTTTCGAAATAAAGCCTTTATCTCGTAATTTCGACATTACCTACGACTTCGAACTCGAAATTTCAACTTATCAACTCGAAATCACGACTTCAAACTTCAAAATTCGATTTGAATCACGTAATTTCCTTACGACTTCAATTTCGTAATTTCGAAATTACGAATTCAAACTTGGAATTAGGACTTTTGAACTTGAAATTACCATTTTGAACTTGAAATGTCAACTTTTATCTCAGAATCGCGACTTTAAACTCGATATTCCGACTTTTTAACACAAAATTACGACTTTAAGCTTGATATTTCGGCTTGAATCTCATAATTTCAAATATATGTCTTAAATCTCGTAATTTCGAAATTACGACTTTAAACTCGAAAATTCAACTTTCAAACACAAAATCTCGACTTCAATGCTTGAAATTTCGACTTGAATCTTGTAATTCCAAAGTTACGATTTTAATCTCCTCGTAATTTCGAAATAACGACTTTAAATTCGAAAGATCGACTTTAGTCTCGTAATTTCGAATTTAAAGTCGGAATTGAAGTTGAAATTTCGAGTTAAAAATCGAAGTTTCAAAATTACTAGATTATAGTTGAAACTTCCATATTGAAGTCGAAATTATACGAACTTAAAAGTAATAATTCCTAGATCAAAGTCGTAAATTCGAGACTGAAGTCAAAATGTTGAGTTTATAAAATCGTAATTTTCAATAAACGCCTAATAAAACGAGGCGTTGCCCTTTTGCGCTTCCGTAGATTACGATTGTCGTTTGAAAACAGATATTGCACTAAACGAATGCATCTTTAGTGGCGTGGTCGAAGTACTCTTCTTGACGTATCAAGAATCAGGAAGGGAACTTTGATGACTGAAGTCACTGAAGATGACTGCCGCAATTGCAGTTGAAACGTTTGGAGATTGTAACCAAAGAAGCCCACGACAAAACTCGGAAACCAAACAAAACATATTTTGTACTCGTAGTAGGGAAATTCTTAAGGCTTACTCATGATTGAAACTAAAACACATATAAAATTATGAATTTTCCCATCTGTGATTAGCCGCGAGGCAGTGAGTTATGGTCAACTGTGAGGTACGAAGGTGTGAGTTATAAGATCATTACCTACTCACACAACAAGAAACGGTCACATGCTTGACAAGTTTTTCATAGAAAAAATGATTATTATTATTAGTCGAATAATATTATTATATGTATTTACGTACGTGTATGCTTCTCGTGCATGTTTATAAAATGAATAACGTATAAATAGGTAACGAAAACTATTCCATATTACATAATGGCAAATAATGCAACTAGTGAGATCTTCGAAAAATTTATTTTTGAGATCTTGAATAAATGCAAATCATTTATATTGTACTATTTGTTGTGAAATTAGCCACTAACAAAAGTTCAGTAATATTGTTGAGAATCAGATAAATCACTATAAATTGTCGGTATTATTTTTTTCATGGAGCTGAAGCTTCACAACCCTCAAAAAATGTATTCTCTTCATTGTTGGAACCTGTCTTTGAACATTTCCACAAACAGTGGACTCAAATTAAACTCATATCTGCTACACATGGAGATTTCTGTTACAATTGTAAATACAACAAATACTTCTCTATCACAGAAAAGCCAGAGCACTGTGAAACTTCAAATGATGTTGTTTCAAATTGTTCTTTTGTGTATAAGCTCTGAAACAATATCTGCAAACGAATTGTGGAGTTTTTCCACATTCATATCGAAAGTGCCTTCTGAAGGTATTCATATTTTTGTAGCCTTTCTTGCAGTTTGGACACTGGATTTGATTATACGAGTATAGTAAACCTAGAACGAAAGTAATCAGAAACTTTTTTCAATGTTACGAGGGCGTCTGGAATACATTTGATACTCGCAACTACATCAAAAAAATTAAATTATCTCGGAAAGTGATTCTTCGAAACAGAATATTTATTTTTTTGCACTGAACATTAGGTTGACGCTATTTTTCCGGTTTGTTACTTCATTATCAAGTGAAAGTATGTGCTTGGAAGAGAAACAACACTGTGTTTGTTGTCTCACCACCTTTGACAATTTCTACCGCAGTTGTAGTCAAAACGTGAAGTAGAAAGACTTCCATACCATGAATAACAAATACGGAAATTAGCTTTGACATAGTAATCTGGACATTTATATGACTGAATATATTGATATATGAAGTTAATTTTCAATAACTTTCATAATAACGTTTTCTTCTGAGAACATATGCATATATAAATGTCCTCTTCTTCTAAGTTACACGAAACAATATTAACAGACGTAGTTCATACTCACACCAATTACACTACAATGCAGTAAAATTCTTGAGACGCTCTAAGAGCGGTGCCTTTGCGAAAGTAGCGATTCATGTTGTAGTCTGGGTTACAAGATCCTTTTTTTTTGGAACTTCTGTCCAAGGGCACCGAAAAATTATGATCCAGGACTCATTCGACTCGGAATAGATCTCTAGCAACTTTTTGAAAAAATATCAAGGAAGGCTCGAAAAAATTGCAAAAGTTATAAGCAATTTAGTAAAAAAAAGAGGTTTGGGTTTTTGCAAATATCTCGGAAAATATTTATGGTATGCGAAATTTGAAAAAGTTCCTTGAAGAGGAGGACAATTAAAAAAAAAAGTCCCACCTCCCGGAACTCTATAACAAATATTTATAACTTTAATTTATAGGCGGAAATAGCGCAGACCGATACGGACCTTTGAACAATAAAAATTATTTCAACCCATTAAATATCATTATTGAGAAAAAAAATACACATACCTTCTAGACACTTGAATGAACGAAAATCCATGGAAAAAATTTTTCCCATGATTATTTTATTAGATATACTTTAGCTAATTAACAAGTTTTAAATTTACATAAAAATAAAATGATTTTTCATAAATTTTTCATAATTTTCAGCGCTATTTGTTTAAAAAATTTAAAAGATATTTGAAATTTTTTGGGAAAGATTTTTATCAGTGATAAATATTATGATTTTCAACCCATTTGAACCTACCGCCCTTTATAAAGGCCTGCAAGTTTAATGAACCATTTAGTCAACTTCAACCTCTCGCGTAAAAATGTCACCACCGGCCATACAAACGTGAATATTTATATTTGAGGTTGTGTGTTCATAAAGTCATACGGATCACAAATTTGGGTATTTTGACGGTTTTA